ATAAAATTTGGGGAGAAAATCACCCATAAATCTACCTTTTAACAGACAATTTTAAATACTCATTTTCAGCCAGCGCGGTGGCTCAGCCTATAATCCCAGCACTTTGGGAGGCTGAGGCGGGTGGATCACTGACGATCAGAGTTCGGGACCAAGCCTGGCCAACATAGTGAAACCTCGTTTCTCCTAAAAATGCAAAAATTCGCGGGTATGTGGTGTATATCAGCTACCCGAGAGGCTGAGGCAGGAGAATCGCTTGAACCCGGAGGTGGGATTGCAGTGAGCTGAGATTGCACGTCATGGTGTGTGCCTGTAATCCCGGCTATTTGGGAGGCTGAGGCAGGAGAATCGCTTGAACCTGGGAGGCAGAGGTTGCAGTGAGCCGAGACAGTGCCACTGCACTACAGCCTGGGCAACACAGTGAGACTCTGTCTCCAAAAATAAATAAAAAATAAGTAAATAAATTGCTAAGTGAAAGTGGCATGAACTCTTTTAATCTCCATTTATTGTTATTATTTAATGTGATTTGTTAATGATAAATGTGAAAATTAATTTGGAAAATTAGTAAGCTTAATTAAAAATGTAAAACATGTAAAAGAAAAAACCAACCAACCAACCCTTGGTGTCTGACATGCTTCACTGTTTTCCTGGCAGCCTGCCGATGTTCACCGTGCTCAGGAAATTCACCATTCCCCTCACGTTACTTCTGGAGACCGTCATACTCGGCGGTGATGTTTCCTCCAGTTCTTCCGTGTGTTCCCGCCACCCCACGTGCCATTTTCTTTTCCCCAGGCAAATTCCTTGAGTAGGCCATTTTGCTAGTTTGGGCCAATATTTTAAGGGGGCACAAATGCTTTATTCGATTTTAAAAGCTAGTTGTGTGCTTCTGGGTTCCCTAAAGAACTTAATTGAGGGGGACTTTTTAAAAGTTGTAATTCGTTACCATAGAAAAATTAATGCAGTTTTTGGAGAAAATCAAAGAGAAGCCGCAGGGCGTGCGGTGGGCTCACGCGCCTTTGCTCAATCCCGGCATTTGGTGGAGGCCGAGGGTGGGGATCCGGGAGCAGGGAGATCGGAGAACCAATCTTGTGCTAATTACGGTGAAATTTCCCGGTCTCTTTACTAAAAATACAAAAAAATTAGGCGGGGCGGTGGCGGGGCGCCCTGTGGTCCCAGGGCTACTTGGGGAGCTGAGGCAGGGAAAATTGGGCGAACGCCCAGGGAGGTGGCGGAGCTTTACCCAAGGTGAGCCGGGGGGGGAAATCGCACCATTTGCACTCCAGCTCTGGGCGACAGAGCGAAGACTCTGTCTCAACAAAAAAAAAAAAAAAAAAAAGAAAAGAAAGAAAATGTAAGAGAGAGAGGAAAAAGAAACTCCAAAGCAGATTGTTAAGCCCTGTCCTGGCCAGATGGAATATATGACCAATTTCGGCGAATACAGAGAGAAACTGTCCACGTCTACATTACCAGGATTAGGTGTGCAGGGTATGAGGGTTGTCAGTTCTGATGCAGTGATTATAATATCAGAAGAAATTAATTTTCATATTGTGGCTATAAAAATTTCTCGATGAGGATATTTAGTGGTTGCATAATCACAAAAAGTTGGATTTCTTGATTTTGCCGGGAGGATTAATTTAGAAATGAATTTCGGTTGGGTGGTCAGTTGTTTTTTTTTTTTTTTTTTTTGAGACGGAGTCTTGCTCTGTAGCCCAGCTGGAGTGCCGTGGCCGGGATCTCAGGCTCCTGCCAAGCTTAACCGCCTCCCGGGTTCACGCCCCATTCTCCGGCCCTAGCCTCCCGGGAGGACTGGGGACTACAGGCCCGCCCGCCACCACGCCCGGGTAGTTTTTTTGTATTTTTTAGTAGAGACGGGGGCTTTCACCGCTGTGTAGCCAGGATGGTCTCGATCTCCGACCTCGTGATCCGCCGATCTCTCCCTCCCCAAAGTGCTGGGATACAGGGCTTGAGCACCGCCACCCGCGCCATGTGGTTCAGTGTTTTAGCCTCTTTGTACTGAATATTTCTTATAATCTTTGAATCCACTATCAGGTCCGTACAAACTAGATCCACCACAGGAGCGCTTCTGTGTTTTTGTCCCGTATCTCTCTGTGAGTGGAACAGAGGAAAATCAGTTTGTAATTTAGATTAAGAAAACTGCTTAAGAAATAATGTTAAAATTTAGTCTGGGCTTAGAAGCACTTTTAGTGCTTTCTCTACATCAAGCATTGTCTGCTAGATTTTAGCTGTAAAACTGTTGATGTCTATTTTCAATTTGTTTAAAAAATAGAATCATATTTCAATGTTTTCCTGTCCACTCCCTTTCCTTTATTTATGTATTTATTACAGGAAGCAGTATTCGCTCAACATCATCGTCAGTGTCTTTGCCATCATTCTCGGGGCTTTCATAGCAGCTGGGTAAGACTTTGGACTGTTCCTGCTCAATAACTTCTTTGTGTCTTTCACAATAGGCCCAGCCCCATCCTCTGTTTTTCATTTTCCATCTGGCTGCCATTGAATTGAGCAGCCAGGAGACAAATCTGTTGAAGTTAGTGGAATCCCTGTGTGTTCCTGTGAAAGTCAAAGTGGGTCCCACCTTGGCCAGAAAATTTCTGAGAATATGTGAAGAGCGCATTGCAAGATATTAGTACAGCTTTTCTTCACAAAAAGCAGTGAACTGTTTACGTTTCTTACTGAATGTTTGTCTTTAATATAACAGCTTTACTTGAGAAGTTCTTAGGCATTTGATTAACAATAACAGACTTACAAAGCCTTTGTGTGCTGATTTATTTTATTATTCCATGATACCTTAGCAGTTGCTATTTCCGATGGTAGAATGCTAAATGTATTTGTATGTTTGGGATACGAGCCAACACTGGTGCACGACTACTACTTTAATAATTATTTTGCAAAAGGAATAACAAGGACTGTAAGTCTTCATGGGCAGGCAGGTGCTCAGATTTCTCTGTTATAGCATGCGTGGTGGATAGTGCATGTTAATAGTTACATTCCCTGGGTGTGGTGGCTCACCCCTATAATCCCAGCACTGTAGGAGGCCTGGGTGGGAAGATCACCTGAGCCCATGAGTTTGAGATCAGCCTGGGCAACAGTGAGACCCTATCTCTACAAAAAAAAAAAAAAAAAAAAAGAGAGAGAGAAAATTAGCCTGGCATGGTGGTGTGTGCCTGGAGTCTCAGCTACTCAGGAGGCTGGGGAAAGAGGATCTCTTGGGCCCAGGAGTTTGAGGTTACAGTGAGCAATGATTGCACCACTGCACTCCAGCCCGGGCAACAGAGTAAGATCCTGTCTCTAAGAAAAACAAATCATGCTTATTATTATTATACATGTATTTAGTCCATTGTGCAGACTAAGGTTTATTACTTAATGTTTCATCTGTACCTTTCTCTCCCCTAGTCCTAGCCATGGGCTGAGTTTCACTCCTTGAAAGCTGGCTCTGTGGTCTCAGTGCTCCAATTCACACCGTGGGTATAGTGCCAGCACCCATTAGACAGCAGCGCTCAGAGCCTGGTCTAGTCATGACAGGCTTTTTTTGGAATGAAATTTTAGGAGTAAAGTAGTTTAAAAAGGGAGGAGTTCTATGGAAGATGCTTTGGGGCTAAAGGGGACAGCTTCCCCCTCTACTCTCTGAAGGTTCATTAAAAAAGGAACTATGGTGGCTCACGCCTGCAATCCCAACACTTTGGGAGGCCGAGGCGTGTGGATCACCTGAGGTCAGGAGTTAAGAGACCAGCCTGGCCAACATGGCGAAACCCGTCTCTACTAAAAATACAAAAATTAGCCCGGTGTGGTGGCGTGCACCTGTAATCCCAGCTACTGGGAGGCTGAGGTAGGAGAATTGCTTGAATCTGGGAAGTGGAGGTTGTAGTGAGCTGAGATTGTGCCATTGCACTCCAGCCTGGGTGACAGAGTGAGACTCCATCTCAAAAAAAAAAAAAAAAAAGGAACTGACAAAAGAGCAGGTTGAGAAGAGAAAAAGACACACAGATTTACCTTCCCATGCCTGGGGTGGAGATCACGGGAGAGCGGCCACCCAGGGACCCAGTGGGGTGCAGGTGCTTCTATATCCTTCTTCACAGGAGGGCAGGGAGTGGAGACAATGCTTTGGAGAGGTCAGGAGTGATGACTGGAGAGAATGAATGGACCTGGGAGACAGAAATTGTAAAGGATTGATTCTCTTTGGAATTTGCACCCGAGAGGCAGATATTATATTTTTAAAGTCTGCCCAGATGTGGCTGCATTCCTCAGTCTTGTTCTCTGCAGTAGATGTCAGAGAGGGGGATGGAAAGCAAGTGTGTTCTCATGAGTGGCAGTCTTTTAAGGTCGAAAAGGGAGTATCCAAGAAAAACCTCTTCAGCATCTGCTGCCCTTCAAGGGCTTTCCATGTAAAATAATCTGCATGCCAGGGTACCATATTTTGGGGTGAAATTCCCTGGGCTCCTCCCACGGCACTCTGAGGTCTCCCCAGCACAGCCCCTCTCTTCCAGCTTCCTTAGGGCTCATCTTGAAAACCACTGACTTACAACCAGTTAAAGACTTTTGCAAAAAATGGTTTATAAAACTGTTGGTAAGTCTTTGGTGAGGAATGGCCCTTCAGTTACCATGTGTATACAGGCACGTTTCCAGAACCAGGGAGCAGAAATCCAGTCTGTGCTTCCCATATGTAAGGACAGTCTACAAATGATCTGAAAGGGTAAATCGGGGTTCCAAAAGCATCTGACTTTCAACCAAGAGCCAGCCTGGAGTATCCATGCTCAGGCTGGCTCTTCCTCTGGCACTCACAGAACGGATCGCCTCCTGGCTGCTGGCATTCACAGCGCTTAGCCACAGATCAGCCGTGAGTGCTCAGCTAGAGACCAGCAGTGACCCCATCCTGCTCTCCTCTTACATTAGCGCATCCAGATGCAAGCAGTGGCAGATCAGACTGTCCGGTGAGCAGGCGATGCCGCTGTAACAAACAACCTCCACACGGCAGTAACTTCACTCACCAGATGCACCCCATCCATGCCACACACGCCACCCAACACCAGGCAGTGCTAGTGAGAGGGCTCTGCACCATGTGCTTACTCAGGCATCCAGGCTGATGGAGTCCCTGCCTCAGAGGGCACTTCCTTTACCAAACAAGCAGGAGAAGGGAATGTGGGGAATTGTGTACTGGTTCTTAAAGGTTTCACCCAGAAGTGACATGTGTCACCTTCTCTCACATTTTATTCAAAAAGCAAGTCACATGGCCAGAAAAAGTTAAAATACAACATCTGGGCTGGGTGTGGTAGCTCCTGCCTGTAATCCTGTTACAGGAAATGGGTCCTGATCCAGACCCCAAGGGAGGGTCCTTGGATCTTGTGCAAGAAAGAATTCAGGGCAAGTCCACAGTGCAGAGGGAAAGCAAGTTTATTAAGAAAGTAAAGGAATAAAAGAATGGCTACTCCATAGACAGAGCAGCCCCGAGGGCTGCTGGTTGCCCATTTTATGATTATTTCTTGATGATTTGCTAAACAAGGGGTGGATTATTCATGCTTCCCCTTTTAGACCATATAGGGTAACTTTCTGACGTTGCCCTGGCGTTTGTAAACTGTCACAGTGATGGCGGGAGTGTAGCAGTGAGGACGACCACAGGTCACTCTTGTGGCCATTTTAGTTTTGGTGGGTTTTGGCCGGCCTCTTAACTGGAACCTGTTTTATCAGCAAGGTCTTTATGACTTGTATTTTGTGCTGACTTCCTATCTAATGCTGTGACTTAGAATGCCTTAACTGCCTGGAAATGCAGCCCAGTAGGTTTCAGCCTCATTTTAGTTTTGGTGGGTTTTGGCCGGCCTCTTAACTGGAACCTGTTTTATCAGCAGGGTCTTCATAACCTGTATTTTGTGCTGGCCTCCTATGTCATCCTGTGACTTAGAATGCCTTAACTGCCTGGGAATGCAGCCCAGTAGGTTTCAGCCTCATTTTACCCAGCTCCTGTTTAAGATGGAGTTGCTCTGGTTCACACGCCTCTGACAATCCCAGCACTTTGGGAGGCCCAGGTGACAGGATTGCCTGAGCCCAGGAGTTTGAGACCAGCCCTGGCAACATAATGAGACCCTGTCTCTACAAAAATAGAAATAAAAAAATTAGCTGGGCATGGTGGCACATGCCTGTAGTCCCAGCTACTCAGGAGACCGAGATGGGAGGATCGCTTGAACAACTGCAAGGGTTACATGAATCTGCTCTAATTGATTAAACAAGTAGATTCTTCAGAAATGTCTGTGCTGTCACCACCGGCCTAAACAAACGGTGGGTAAGGCGCTTGACAGTGGCCCAGGCTTCTGGGAGTGGGAGCAGTGCTGCTGGGAACTCTTGGTCCCCTGAGTAGGAGATTCCCTGCAGCTCTCCCAGGAGGCGGACAGTGTCTCCTCCCAGCCTCTTTCCACTCACTTAGCTCTGCCGTCTAAGGGGGCAGCAGACTCTGCTCTTCTTCACGCTGAATCACATGTGGGTAGGTAAGAAATTTGGAAGACCCTTATTTTGAAGAAAATCCTTTTGTTTTGAGACGGAGTTTCGCTCTTGTTGCTCAGGCTGGAGTCACGATCTTGGCTCACTGCAACCTCTGCCTCCCCGGTTCAAGCGATTCTCCTGCCTCAGCCTCCCGAGTAGCTGGGATTACAGGCATGTGACACCAGGCCCAGCTAATTTTGTATTTTTAGTAGAGACGGGGTTTCTCCATGTTGGTCAGGCTGGTCTCAAACTCCCAACGCAGGTGATCCACCCACCTTGGCCTCCTAAAGTGCTGGGATTACAGGCATGAGCTACTGCATCTGGTTGAAAATCCTTTCTTTTCTTTTTTTTTTTTTTTGAGACAGAGTCTCGCTGTGTCGCCCAGGCTGGAGTATGGTGGCGCGATCTTGGCTCACTGCAAGCTCCGCCTCCTGGGTTCACGCCATTCTCCTGCCTCAGCCTCCCAAGTAGCTGGGATTACAGGTGCCCGCCACCAAACCTGGCTAATTTTTTGTATTTTTAGTAGAGACGGGGTTTCACCGTGTTAGTCAGGATGGTCTCGATTTCCTGACCTTGTGATCCACCCGCCTCGGCCTCCCAAAGTGCTGGGATTACAGGTGTGAGCCACCGCACCTGGACTTTTTTTTAAAATTGTGACTGAGAGAGAATTCTGACTTACGATGACTAAAATTAACTTCCCTTCTCACAAATATGTTTGTAGATAATAATGTGTGGAGGCCTCAAGCAAAAGTCTAATTTAATTTGCATTCATATTTTGGTACAGTTTTTGCTCTCTGTTTCATTCTCTTTGGTTAGAAATAATCTTATTTTGACGTTGAAGAAGATTTAGGATATGCCCCTCCAAACTATGCTACTGTGGGGTCAGGATTATTCTGAGCTGAGGACAATTGAGAATCAACACATCAGGAAGTTTGCTGCTTTCTCCTTTCTGCCTAAAAAACAGGGAATCAGTTTCCCATTGTGAAGGGGGCCCCTTGTCCCATCCCAGGAAGAGGAGAGCAATTCCTGTCACTGGGTGGAGGATCGGCCCTGAGATGCATCTGCATAAACAAACCCTAAAATAACCCTTCTCGTTCATCATTTCCACCATAGATTTCCCAGTTACTTTCTAACAGTTACACAATTTATTTGTTCCTTGAAGCCCAAATCCTCTTTCCTTAGTCACAATGTAAGTCCCCAAGCCTCTCTGTTTGAGTTTCACTTATTTTCTGTGAACTTTAGGGAACGTATTAATAAGATTTGTATTCTCTTTCTCCTGTTAATCTGTCTTTTATCAGTTAAATTAGCAGGCCCCGAGACACTGAACCTGAGAGGGTACAGGCAAAGGTTTTCCTCCCTGGCAGTGTGTATTCCTGAATTATGGCATGGTCTAGCACTGTCTGCAACCATCAAGGGCAGGTGGATGGGCCACTTCATGGCTCAGCTGTTGCTCTTCCTCTTGTTCCTGTCATAGCTCCCCAGATGTTTTTACGCTGGTGCTATTTATAATGGAAATGGAAGAGAAGATGTTTCAAAAGAACGGGAAGAAAGGAGCCAATATGGGGTCACACAGAAGGATGGACAGGGTGCGGCTGGAGCACCAGAAGGAGGTGTCACTGCCTCATGCAACCCCTCTTACCCAGTCTCTGCCAGCTGCCCCTCACTGGCTGCACCCTGGAGGTGGCCCTGTTCACTACAATAAGCAAAGTCGCTGAGTGGGACAGGGTGAAGCACTCCCCTTAGGAAAGTCAGGGCTCACCAATTATTACGTGGATTCCTCAGCTGGCGAAAGAAAGGGGTTGCAGTTGAAGGAGGATGGTTCATGCCCCTCAGGTTTTAAGCCGTTCACTGCTGAGTTGAAGCCACCTGATGGGCTGGTTTGGTTTTTGTCTGGAGGCAAAGCAGAGGAATTAACCATTCACTACCGCACAGCGTGCCACGGAAAAGTGGATTTGATTAGGGAAAGGTAAAACAGGCGGGCTTGGAGGCCAAGTTAGGAGTTTTCGAATAATCCTTCTCCTTTTGTGGTCTCCCTCCCAGGTCTGACCTTGCTTTTAACTTAGAAGGCTATATTTTTGTATTCCTGAATGATATCTTCACAGCAGCAAATGGAGTTTATACCAAACAGAAAATGGACCCAAAGGTACCAGACCTTGCCTATGGCTTTTTGGCTTTGTCATCTGGGCCCTAGAAGTATATGAAAAACGAAAATGAATGTGTACAGTTGGCATGTCATGTAATTTATATAATATGACGTGTAGATTACTAATTTCAATTATCTTGTCTGTGTAAGTTATTATTTGCAAAATTTTGGGTGAAAATGAGATAGCATGGGAACAGCTACTAGTTTAGATGCACACTCAGAATATATAAAAAGGGATTAATTTGAAAGGCAAACTAACTTTTTTACTGGCATCATCAATGACCAAGGCAAGGTCAGGGGTCACGATGTTTGTTCTGAGAGCACTAGTTTGGGGTCTGGAGATGTGGGTTAGAGACACAAGTTTTGCTACTTACTGGCTGTTGTGACTTTGAACCTTAACTTCTCCAAACGTCAGTTTCCTCATCTGTGGAATGAAATGACTGCAATGGATAATTCGTAAGGTCCTGTCCAGCAATAGCTGCTGCTTCTGATGATGAGGGGCTGGGGCAGAGGAGCTTTGCTTTTGTGTGGCTGCCTGTCATGTGGAGGCCCCATCCCTCCTCCCCCCTCCCCAGCTGTTACAGGAAGCCTGGGAGGATGAGTCAGACATATGTTTCTTTGTTCCAAGCTCTTTGTGCTGGATGAGGGAGTTCACTCTGACCAACAGGCTTATTTCTATGAGCTTTTTTTTTTTTTTTTTTTTTTTTTTTAATCTGCACTGTGTTTTTTTTTCCCCCTGCATGGCCACTTTTTTTTTTTTTTTTTTTAAACGGTAGCAGTTTTACAAAAACAGGTTTGTTGTCTTTGCAAAATCACAATATGTCATCCTTTTTTGAAAATGGTGAAGTGGTGTGGCCACTTTAATGAAAGTAAATGTATAATGCTGCTGTCCTTTAATGGAAACAGCAGATGTTTTTAAAGAGTTTTGTTTATATTCATGTTTTTAATGTTCTTTATTTTGTTCCAGATTTCCCATTTTGAATAATGTGCTTAAAAAAAACCCACACAATTAGAATGCTGGAGATGAATGGAACCCTAGAGGCTTTCCACTGCCATGCGTTTTCTCTGTAGTTTTGGTGTAAAACAAATGTTTATTCCAAAATCTCAGTACCCTCAAAATGAAGCATTTTATGTCAGAAATTTGCTGAAAATATTCCAGTAGAGTTGCCCAGAATGCATATTCTAACTTTGCATGAATATGCAGTTGAATAAATGGCTCCAGGAAATCTATGCGTCATGTTTCTAAAATTGAGTGGTTTTTATGTTTTTGTTTTTGCAGGAGCTAGGGAAATACGGAGTGCTCTTCTACAATGCCTGCTTCATGATTATTCCAACTCTTATTATTAGTGTCTCCACTGGAGACCTGCGACAGGTGAGCTGATGGCAATCGTTACAGTCTTCCTTAGCAGGCTTTAACATTTTTAATATTTAACATTTGGTATGCACAGAAATAAAACGTGTAAAGGTAGCTGGGACTACCAGGGGGGTACGTGATAACAAGATGTTTGATATCCCTAGTAATCTTTTGGCACTACCCTTGCATTGGCATTTAGCCTTAGCCACATATCAAGGAGTGCCAAGAACTGTGGACTTGGAACTTTTTGGAACACAACAATACAAATCTGAGTTTGAGTTCCATATCGCCCTTTGCTAATGTGGGACCCTGGGAGAGCTACTTACCCTAGAGGGGGATTTTGATCATTTCAAAAAATAGGTTTATTTATTTGTTACTTTCTATGACGAACATTTTGAAACGTGCACAAAATAGAATAATCCAATGAGTAGTCACGGACCCACCACCTAGCTTCAACACTTTGGCATTTTGCCGTGTTATTTTATCTGTCCTCATCCACCCCCACTTTTTTGTTCCCTGGAGTGTTTTAAAACCTATCCCAGCCATCACGCCATTTTACCTCTAAATATCCCAGCATCCACATTTGAATTTTGGGAAGGTGTTGTTCTTTCAGCATTTGCCCTGAAACCCGATCTGCTGCTGGTGAGAGACAAATGAAATGGTGCATTAGTGGTAAGATCTGAGGCCCAGCGGAGCGGTGGAGGCCAAGTCTCTTAGGAAGTGTGGACATTCACTACAGTGACAGCTCCAGTGGCCACCCTGAAGGGCACAAGACGATGCCCTAGATACTTTTCCTATATGATAGGAATAGCCCATCAGGTGGCTTCAGCTCAACAGTGAACGGCTTAAAACCTGAGGGACATGAACCATCCTCCTTCAACTGCAACCCCTTTCTTTCGCCAGCTGAGGAATCCGCGTAATAATTGGTGAACCCTGACTTTCCTAAGGGGAGTGCTTCACCCTGACCCACTCAGCGACTTTGCTTATTGTAGTGAACAGGGCCACCCCCAGGGTGCAGCCAGTGAGGGGCAGCTGGCAGAGAGTGGGTAAGAGGGGTCGCATGAGGCAGCGACAACTCCATCTGGTGCCCCAGCCGCACCACACTTCTTCAGGAAGTCGCAGGCCACACAGCCTCTGAGAATTTTGCTGATGTGTAAGTGAGTGTGAGAAACGAGATGCGATGGGCAAAACCCTCCTCGGCGGGACCTGCACCCACAGACTGGACTCCAGACACAGCCCTGACCAGCCCGGCGGTAACCCCCTCATTGCTGGGCTGGGGCTGGGGCCGCACCCATTGACCCACGGCCAGGGCGGTGTTTCCATGTCGAGCAGTCAGCGTGGGTGCGTGTTGCCCACCAGCTGAAAGTCAGTCCCATTGGCAGCTCTTTTAGGGTCTGAGTGACTCTGAAGGCTGCAGGCTGCTGTGGACTCCTGGGCAGCTCATTGTTCTTTCGTTAGCTGGACTTTCTCACTTGACCAATTCTCTTCCCAGAAGGAGGGGTCAGCAGAGGGGCTGAGCAACCTCGTCCCCGGGCACAAACTGCCATTTCCGCGGGTTTATGTGGAAAACCACCAGGTGGCACCAATCTGGATAAAGAGCTCTTATTTCGGGTTAATCAGAACGTTGTGAACCTGGGCCTCCTGTTAATTCCGTGCTGGAAGATAAAGCGGGCACCTGCCCCTCTCTAGGAAGAATGAGCAGGGCAGGATATCTGAAAACACAGTATTTGTGTTTCCGCTACCAGCAATCAATTTGAAACTGAGTCAGTGCCAGCAACGTTACACAAAACAAAATTATGAACTCTTGGCCAGGCGTGGTGGCTCACGCCAATAATCCCAGCACTTTGGGAGGCTGAGGCAGGCAGATCTCCTGAGGTCAGGAGTTCGAGACCAGCCTGGCCAACATGATGAAACCCCATTTGTAGAGAGTATTTTTAGCAGTAAAAATACAAAAATTAGCCAGGCATGGTGGCAGGCGCCTGTAATCCCAGCTACTTGGGAGGCTGAGGCAGGAGAATCACTTAAACCCAGGAGGCAGAGGTTGCAGTGAACTGAGACTATGCCACTGTATTCCAGCCTGACTGACAGAGCAAGACTCTGTCTCCAAAAAAAAAAAAATTACAAACTCTTCATAAGTGGTTCTAGTGGCTTGTCTCCTTTCATTATTATAGAAGTGAGTTGTTTTTTTTTTTTAATCACTGGAGTTTTATCTGTTCTGAAATTCTGGTATTTTAGATAATTTTTTTTCCAGAAATAGGTATCTAGAAACTCCTAAAAATTGTTAAAACACCTCATTGGGACTAAAAGCATATTTCCCCATGGGAACAACGCTATGAAAGGCGTAGTGACCAGAAACTGAATTTTAGGTAGTTGATGAGTAAAATAGATTAGGTGTATTATGTTAATAATTTATAACATTGTTTCAGAAGAAATATGTGTTCTCATATCAAAGTCATTGGCTTATAAACTTGTAGCATGGTGTTTTCAGAAGCTGCTACGTGCCTGTAATGATTATCATGTAGAATTCTACTTTCTCATGTAATAATAATAATAGCCAATATTTGTTGAGGGCTTATGATGTCAGACATTTTTCAAAGCATTGTTCATGAATTATCTGACTGCATTTCCACAACGGAAGAGAAGGTCCTGTTACTATTCCTGTCGTATAGGAAAAGCATCCAGGGCATCGTGTTTAAGTATCTCCCCAAGGATAGCAGGTGGTCAGTCCAGGTGCTCTGGGCTCTCGAAACACATCCTCCACTGTCATCTCATTTACTTTATTTGTATATGAAAAGTGTTCGCTTTCTCCTTCATGTGTGAAAAACATATCCCTCACTTATACAAAGTACCAGAGACCTAACATATTCTTTATGTTTATTTATTTTATTTTATTTTTTTGAGACAGAGTCTCGCTCTGTCACCCAAGCTGGAGTGTAGTGGTGCGATCTCGGCTCACTGCAACTTCCATCTGCCAGATTCAAGCAATTCTTCTGCCTCAGCCTCCCAAGTAGCTGGGATTACAGGTGCCCACCACCACGCCCAGCTAATTTTTGTATTTTTAGTAGAGATGGGGTTTCACCATGTTGGCCAGGCTGGTCTCGAACTCCTGACCTCAGGTGATCCACCCGCCTTGGCCTCCCAAAGTGCTGGGATTACAGGCTTGAGCCACCGCGCCCGGCTTTTTTTTTTTTTGAGATAGAGTTTTGCTCTTGTTGCCCAGGCTGGAGTGCAAGATCGCTTGGCTCATTGCAAACTCCGCCACCCAGGTTCAAGCGATTCTCCTGCCTTAGCCTCCCGAGTAGCTGAGATTATAGGCGCCCACCACCATGTCCGGCTAATTATGTATTTTTAGTGGAGACGGGGTTTCACCATGTTGGCCAGGCTGGTCTCGAACTCCTGACCTCATGATCTGCCCACCTTCCAAAGTGCTAGAATTACAGATGTGAGCCTCTGCGCCCAGCCAAGTTTAACTAGTTTTAAAAGTATTGTATGACAAGAGATGCCAAATATATGAGACACTCACTGTAATCTGCAAGAAAAAGCCATCAACTCCATAGAAAAAAACAAAACAAAACAAAAACAAAACAGTGAGGTTTCCACTACTAACATTGAATCAGGGTAAATTTCTTCCCGTTGGTTTCTTTTGACCATGGCGGAATTCATTTTAGACTGTAAACCAAAGAAGAGAAAGAAATGAATTTATGTAATTAGGTGTGTTAGCCTGTAATATAAAATTGCTTTTTGTTTACCAAGTTTGGTCTGACTGAATGCTGGGGTTGGTGGTGAGCACCTGTATCCCCAGCTACCGCGGGAGGCTGAGGCAGGGAGAATTGCTGAACTGAGAGGTTGGGAAGGTTGCAGTGACCGAGATGGTTGCCTGGCTGCAACTCTAGCCCTGGGTGGACAAGGAAGGGAGACTCCTGTTCTTCAAAAAAAAAAAAAAAAAAAAAAAAAAGTTGTGAAGAATTCTAAAATATTTTAGAGAGTCCCAAAAATAGCCCTCCATATGATTTTGTTGGATCCAGGAACCAACCCATACTATACCGTTTTTATTATCCCTGATTAAATGGGATGGATTGATTTCTACTGTTGGCATAAATTACTTTTTAGCTCTTGAGAACAGGATGTTTTTTCTACCTGTTTGAAAATTTAAAAAAAACTTACCGTATTCTCTGTATTCC